CGCTACTCTGGCCTCCACCGCCGTAAGCTGGAAAGCACGACCTTGAGCCTTCGGAGGCTCTAACCTATCTGATCTCCCATCAGTGATCCTCAAAGTAGTCGGTGCTGCAATCTGCACCGGCTTGGCAGCAAGTAGTGGACAGTTGGCTCTCATGTGGCCGACCTGGTTGCAGTGGTAACATAACCTCATACCAGGACAGTCCTTCGCGTAATGTCCATCCTTGCCACATTTGTGGCACCCACTACCAGCCCGACATACCCCAGAATGACCCTTGCCACACTTCCCACAAGTGCGGCCCTGTTGACCCTCGGTCCTAGCATATGCGGTCTTAGGCTGCTTTGGCGCCGGTTGAGACAGTACCGGGGCCAACCGCTGCTCCCTCAGCTGCAGCTCAATCTCCAACTCCCGCCGCCTGGCGGCCTCCTGTAACTCTATAAGAGTATCACATCGTTGGGTGGACACAAACTATCGGATATCAGTCTTGAGCATACTCAGATAATGGGTCATCTGAGACTGCTCGGAGGCAAACTCTGGGCAGAACATCGCCCTCTCAGTGAACATACGGGTGATCTCCATCACCGGCTCTCCATCCTGTCTCAGACTCAGAAACTCCTGTGCCAAACGTTCCCGCTCAACCCTCGGAATGTAACGAGCGCGGAACATATCCCTGAACGGCTCCCAAGTAACAACAACTCTCTGATCATCAGTATAAGCCCCGGTCGCAAGTCTCCACCAATCCTTGGCTCTAGACCTAAGCAGGTTAAGAGCACATCTGACCTTTTGGTCAGTAGGACACGAGCAGGTGAAGAAACACCCATCCACATCTGAAATCCATCTCATAGCCTTGATGGGATCCTGTGTCCCATAAAAAGTAGGGGGCTTCGTGTTGTCGAAGTCTCGGTACTGAAAAACCCTACCTACTCCTCCCCTTGCCGTAGTTACAGCTAATGCAGCTGCTGCGGCGGCTGTCTCTGTGAAGGCTGCATAACGCTCATCGAAATACTCCACCATGGCGGTCTTAATTGACCCGGACATCTCCGACAATTCGGCCCGGAACAACGCAGCAACCTCGTCATGCAGGATTGCTCGAATCCTGTCGTTCATCTCCTCTGGCCTCATCTGGCTGATCGTCTCGGGTGCTGTCAGCTCCCCCGGTCCGCCCTCTCCTGATCCTGACCCGGATCCAGTCACAAAGCGCCTAGTCATCACCATTCTGAAACACAACACAAGGCATTAGATAATGTTTACAACAACTAGGGACCAACCCCTAACAAAACCCTGGGAGTTGTGACTTCCTTGTCACGCGTATGGGTCCTGTGCTTTCAGTAGTACGGGCCCATACTACCTTCCACACCTACCCATATATGTTCCAAGTATTACCACAACGCCCTAACAATACATATAATTACATCGAGCACTCAAGTCCAATTCCTAAGGAATGTTAGACGACTCGAAATCGGCGGACTTATCCCAACACCTACCCACTCACGAAACTTCCACCAACCCTGCAACACTAGTGCATGCTAGCCATACATAATGTTGGACCCGATAGACTTTTAAATATTTAATCCTACCCTAAGCTCATAATCAAACAAGAATAGAACATAAGGCTAAATCGGACATTCTCAAGCTATAAGGTCTTAATTATGTACAACTGTGGTGCATACACTAAATCACTACAGTAATGATGTCAATTTCATGTAAAGGAAACCCTAGGCTAGCAAGCACAATGCAATCAGGCAAGTCTTTCATGCAATTCCTGAAGATCCCTAGCCTAGTATTAACATGTTGTTCTAATATGTCACATAATCAAATAACTGTATGGTATTTTGGGGTTTGCTTACTGGCTCTGGCTGATCGTATATCCTGCATCCTCCTGATTTATTTTGAAAACCGATTTATTAAACCATTTTTTTTTAAAAAACGTTCCTTGATTTGAGACTGGATTCACACGAATGTTCCTCCAGTTCACTCAAACCGAGGCTCTGATACCAACTTGTAACATCAAAAATTTCAAACAAATTAAAACTTTTAAAAACATATAAAGTTCATCAAAATATTACAACTTTGTTTTCAAAACATTGTTTATTAGAGTCTTGTCCCCAAAATAACATAATAGGAGGAGCAGTACGATCACGCCTTGGCCTTGCCGCGATCCCCAGATGTACCTGAAACAATAAACTGAAACTGTAAGCCCGAAAGCTTAGTGAGTTACCCCAAAATACCGATACACATACAGTTCACATAACAATATCAACATTAGCATATCATACCAATCAAAATAGAACAACATGCACTGGGTCCACAACTTTACAAGCTGGACTACCCCTGGGCCCTCAGTACGAGTCTGTAATGCCTACCGGGACCTCAGCTCGTATTTGGAATGCCATCGAGCCCCCAGTACAAGTCTGGAATGCCTACCGGGCCCTCAGCTCGTATCTGGTATGCTCTCGAGTCCTCAGTATGAGTCTAGAATGCCTACCGGGCCCTCAACTCATATCTGGAATACTCTCGGGTTTGTTGGCTATCGCACGGAGCAGTACAACCTCAACCCACCCCACATAACATGTCGACATGTAACAGATAAATGCACATACATGTAATCAATCAGTATCGCAGGCAGTCCTACAGATGTACCCGACTAGCACATCAACTGGCATGCATTACTAACTCAAACTCAACATAACAATAACTACTAGGATATCAAATCCAATGGGCCGACCTTGGTGCCTTAGACCCCTTAGTATAGTGAGGATAACTCACCTTGCAGATGTTGGTTGGGTAAAGAATCACAGCTCTTCGATCACTTGTCGAAGACTCCACCACCTATTACCATAATACGATTATGCTCATAAGTCTCTGTCCTCATAGAGTACTCCATAACCCAACTAGTTAACCCTGATCAAGGTCAAAGTCCTTAGTCAAGGTCAACATTCCATGTTGACCTTAACTCATCAAGTACCCCCGGCTGCTCGCCGAGTTCCTCGAAACTTTTACCTATTCGTCGAGTCACCGACGTGACTCCACGACTCTTGATTGAGGCCCTAGAGCCACTCGCCGTGTTTCTCTTCTAGTAATACGTTGATACACACGCGTTCCTAACTTGGAGGAAACTCATCCGACTCGCCGAGTTGCTCATGCAACTCGTCGAGTCTAAGGCAACCTTCATCGGACTTGCTGAGTTGTTCTACCAACTCGTCGAGTTCTCGACTATATTCATCCGACTCGCCGAGTTCCTTTAGTTCTTAAGCCATACATATCCGTTTTAAGCCATGCAACGACTCCAAACCTTAGATCCAAGCTTCCAGGGCATGCCTTTCACGTAAAGTTGCAAACTTTACGTGTATGCATGGCTAAAAAGGTCCTTAATGTCCAAAACTAAGCTCTTAATGGGTTTCATGCACAAGGAAGGCCTTATTCACGTCCAAGACAGGAACTTTATGGATCTAGAACTCCGGAATGGTCCAGATCTGAAGTTACAACTTCAGATCTAGCTTATGTTTTGCAATATCACCTTACCTACACCTCAAAACCCTAGATTTCCACTATATGAGATCTATAAGGGAAAACAGATAAAGGTGTCGACTTGGTACCTTCTATGAGTGTTAGCTGAGGTAGATTTCGGGTTCCACTCCTCCCTTTCTTCTAGTCCTTTGCTTCTCCAAGTTCTTCCTTCCACAAGTTCTCCTTTAAAGCTTTCAAGGCACTAATGGCACAAATACTCGGTTAGGGTTTTCCTTTGAGTTCTATCTGACTGTAAGGAGGCCAAATGGGGCTTAAGCCTCCTTAAATAGAGTGTAGAACCCGAGACTTAGGGTTTCTTTTGCCAACTCCTACTCGTCGAGTCCCACTCGTAGACTCGCCGAGTCAGTCATTTAAGATGCAATTCAATCTCGCTGCTACTCGACGAGTAGGGCAACCAACTCGTCGAGTAGGGCCAAACCAAGAAACGATAATCGGACAATACCTAAGAATCGGGACGTTACAAATTAATTTGGATACCAACAAAGTTGGTTGGTATATATTGGTATTTGGTATATACCAAAATTTTTAAGTAATATGTACTATACATGAATATAAGTTGAATTTGTGGACATTTGGCCGTTGCCTCACTCGCTTCTGGTAGTATATTTTTTTTTGGAAACCACTAAAATGATTAAAAGATGTCTACCCCTAGCAAGTTGCGAGAGGAAACAAATGGTAACAGTACAAGTACAAGGAATGAGAAGTTAGTATTCATTTTTAAGTTTTAGTGTACGTATCACCGATCTCGTGCACATCAAACAATAAGTATTACGAAATTTGTCGATCAATGTGTTAGTTTAGTAATTCTAAGACTTGTTAGTTGGTATTCTAATTAAAACATGAAGATATGAGAAATCATATTTCTTTGTATTTATGAATTGATATATATATATATATATATATATATATATATATATATATATATATATATATATATATATATATATATATATATATATATTGGTTGGTTGGTACGGTACAACCGTGGTATTCAAAATTTCATACCGTTACCGTACCAAGACTACTTAATTGGCATGGTATTACTAGCCAAACATATTGGCTACCAAACAACTTGGCTACTGATTTAATTGGTTCAGTTGGTAACATGTTGGTTGATTCTCTGTGGTACATATTTGTCAGTCCTAAAAATCACCATGAAACTTGATTTTATTTGTTGGACCAAATCCAAAAAAATAACAAACCATAATGATCAAATTTGTAATTTTTTTTTTTTTTTAAGCCAAGGGACTGTTGGTGTGGGACATCCAATATATAGGAAAATTTATGTGGTAACAAATCTTTCTCAATAAAATTTCCTTTCTAAAAATAGTGTTTTAGACTTTTAGTTCATCACAAAGTTACGTGGCGGATTATAGAGACACGTAGGCGAGAGGGGGCAGCGCGTGCTAAGTGCTAACTAAGTTGCTTGCGAATCCTTTGGCTTCCCCTATCCGATCGATGCTTCTTCTAAACAACAAAAACAGAAATTCGAAAGAGGGGTTTATGCTGGGGTTTTGAACTTCTTCACTTGTTATTGCATAAATTGAACTCGCACTTCTCAAAATAAAGTTTTCTTCACTTGGGTATAGCAGAAATCGAAGCCATATTTCATAATCACCTGCAACAGTTTTGAGGATTCGAAGGGTAATGAAAAGGAGTCGAAAATTCAATTGATGATTTTGAGCGTGGGGTGACTATTTATATAACAGACTGATGTTTAGAAGCAACAATTTAACAGCAAGGATATTTGAGCGTCAGATTCGAACTCCTTCTCCTGGTACCACTGTATGTATTCTCAAATCTCGATACTTCAGCTAATTATTGGTTTTGTGTGTTTATTATGCAAATTCTGAGCAAATTGTTAGTGATTTTCGTTTTAATTTGCTTTTAGTGCATACTTAAACATTGATTTTGTACATTTTGTTTTCAGTAGTTCTTCTTTTTATCACTGTTTAGGTCGTCTTTGGGTAGATCATTGACTTCGTGTACGTTTCCTATATCCAATCCCTCAATAATAAAGTTGTAATTTTTAAAGTTGGGTGCGATTAAGTTGGACTAGATTGTACTCTTTTGTACTACGTAGGACCTTTTTTGGAACATTTAGGCAAAACCCCTCGTTTTTTTGAAAGCTAATAGATAACATTTTAACTCTGTATCAAATGATTTCCAAGTAAAAGATGTGGAAGCTACATTAAACTTTCAATGGATCAGTTTTAGTAGACTAACATTTATGTTAAATTTATGTAATTTTCATTGTTTAACTACTAGTTTTGACGTCAAAAAGGCGCAATGTATGTTGTTCATGAACAAGATGAAAAACTGATTATTGTTACTTTTTTTATTTTTATTAATGTTTTTTGTCATGTTCCCAAATCAAGTTAATTGTTTAGAATTTGGGGAAAGAAAAGTGTTACTCCTTAATCAAGTCTTTATGTCTATAAATCAAGTTAATTGGTTGGAGTTTCTTATATGAAAAAAAGATAAACACTACGAGACTAAACAAACGGTCTAGGGCTATCTTTATTTTTAATGATCAGAATGAGGAGGACATTCATGTCTTTTACACAAACAAGAGATCAAGAACAAGTCTCTATCCCGCCTGTTTGGGCGAGACAAATAATACAGTTACATTTTTTGTCCCATTAACATCAATACTAGTCCTATCAATGCATGTCAAACACAGTATAAAGCTGTCTTGTCATGTTCTGTCCTATTCTGTCTTGTCTTGTTTACCTAATAACATGGATGTCTTGTCATTTTTTGTCCTGTTTACCAAACGTATTATAAAGTTGTCTTGTCATGTTTACCAAACATAGTACAAGGCGGTCTTGTCATGTTCTGTCCTGTTTACCAAACGTAGTACAAGGCTGTCTTGTCATGTTCTGTCCTGAGCTGTCCTGTTTACCTAATAACATGTATACTTTCAGATTCACCGTGCGAGGAGATTTTATGAGAATATAGTTCCTGGTTCTACAATATATGATGTTGAATGTCCGGACCATTCATTTCGCAAGTTCACAGAAGATGGCAAATACTTAATAAGTTTCAGTAGAAACCATCAAGATTTAATTGTGTATCGACCCACATGGCTTACATTTTCTTGCAAACAAGAAGATTGTTATGCTCAAGATCTTCCACCAAAAGCCAAGAAGTTTGAGAGTTTCTTCACTCAAATCTACTCGGTCCCACTTGCTTCTGCAAGTGAGCTCATATGTAAAGACTTCTTTCTTTATGCAGAGTCTAACCAATTTGGTCTTTTTGCAACTTCCACTGCTCAAATTTATGATGCCCCAGCTACCGGAGGTGCTATTCAAGGGGTTCCCTCAATTGAAAAAATAACATTCCATCTTCTAAGGTATGGTTTATATATAGGGATAAATGCAAGAAATAGCAATGTACTTTTGTATGTTTATGTATTATAGTTGAAATTGCTTTGTATTTGTGTGATATTGCTATAATTAGGTAGATTTTTCGTTGTAGAAGGACTAAATATGACTAGTTTTAAATTGCTTTGTATTTGGATGATATTTTCAAAGGGTGATTTAAATACTTTTACAAGTACTTATAGTTTGTTTTTAAATATGTATACATAAAGCAAACAATAACTTATGAAAGAAAAGTTATGTCATTTATCATTATTACGTTTTAAATCCTTTGACAAAATTTTAAACTAAATTAAAAAGATTGGAATTGTATTCCATTCCATTTCCGACCAATGAAACATGTGACACATATCAATTCTTGCATATTCCAATTCCTTTTTAAAACATTCATCAAACTAAATGCAACTTATGCTTTTGTTGCAAACAAAGTATGAGAATGAATGATTTGTACTTTTTCTTCTTCTTTTTTTTTTCTGCATTAAGTCATAAAGAAACAACACCTAAGATGGTTTGTAAAGTTTGTGACTCAATGTATATCTATTGGAGTTCAGTTTATTATAAAATTTAATCGTATGTGAATATATATATTTGGCAGATTGGAAGATGGAGTTGTGCTTGATGAGAGGGTTTTCTGCAATGATTACATAAATTTAGCACACAGCATGGGTGTTTTTTTATATGATGATTTACTTGCTATAGTATCTCTTCGTTATCAACATATTCACATACTTCAGATTAGGGATTCAGGGACTCTTGTTGATGTAAGAGCAATTGGTGACTTTTGTCGTGAAGATGATCAGCTTTTTCTCAATTCTAGTTCACAGGTAAGTTCTAAAGTTTCTAATAGTTTTATTGGTAGCCCTCTACGTTTTTCGTATGACCAAAATACCCTTATGTAATGACAAAAAGTGGGAGATTTTAAGTCTTGGCACTATGTTTTTTCATGAAACTACACTAACATTGATCATGAAATAGCATAAAGCCAGGGAAAAATCATCACTATTGAAGGGTATTTTGGTCACATGAAAGAATTGTCCACCAAAAATATATGACCAAAATACCCTTCAATAATGACAAAAATTGGGAGATTCTTGTTGGCACTATGTTTTTTCATGAAACTACACTAACATTGATCATGAAATAGCATAAAGCCAGGGAAAAATCATCATTATTGAAGGGTATTTTGGTCACATGAAATAATTGTCCACCAAAAATATATTACCAAAATACCCTTCAATAATGACAAAAATCGGGAGATTCTTGACACTATGTTTCTTCATGAAACTACACTAACATTCATCATAAAATATCATAAAGCTAGGGAAGTCATCATTATTGAACGGTATTTTGGTCACATGAAAGAATTGTCCACCAAAAACATATGACCAAATTACCCTTTAAATGTTGTTAATGATTTTGTAACCATGAAAATGGTCAAATGATTAAATCTAACTAGAAAACCAGCCACAATAGGAAACATTACATTAACTCTCAAACCCTAAACCCTAATCCCTAATCCTTAAACCCTAAACTTGATTTATGTTGTAGGGTATGTCAAGTATTGAAAAAAGTGTATCACAACACATACCTGTTAATAATGCTGCAAATGGCCCTCTTCTTGAACAAGTTCCTCAAGAAAATCCTTTCTTGAGTGGCATAAAACAAAGGCTACTTTCTTTCATTGTTAGAGAGATACGAAATGAAGAAGAAGATGAAACTATGGTTAGTTAGTTACTTATCATTGATCAATATTCAAAATTTTATTAATTTCAATTTTTTCAAGACTTCTTACATTTGTTTTAATACTCTTCTCTTATTGTTGATGCAGAGAATCCAATCCCTAAAGAAGAAGTTTTATTTTCACTTTCAAGATTATGTCGATTTGATTATATGGAAGGTGGGATGTAATAATTTTAGGACTAAATGTTAATAGCAACATTCTTTAACTCTTTTTTTAATATTCTTTTTTTTTAAATAGACGATAAGAATTAAAAACATCTTTTTTTTTTTTTTGAATAGGTGCAATTCTTGGATCGACATCACCTACTAATAAAGTTTGGGAGTGTTGATGGAGCAGTAAGTATCTTTTTACATTCTTTTTCAAACAATAGCAATGTACTTTCATTGATTTACTTATTATATTTATATCATTTGTTTTTCACAACATTATACATTAAAAAATCTACCTTGTTGTAACAAATAACAATATCATTTAAATACAAAACAATTTTCATATGTTATAATACACATGACTACAGGTGTCAAGAAATGCTGATAATCACCCTGCATTCTTTGCTGTATATAACATGGAATCAACAGAAATTATTGCGTTTTATCAGGTACTTGTATAAAACTATTTCATAATTTTTTTTTTTAAAAACTAAAAGACTAAAAGGTATTTTCTCTAATTATTTTTTTAAAAAATCTTGCAGATGTCCTCAGATAAGCTGTATTTGTTGTTTGAACAATTTTGTGATCATTTTCATGTAGCATCAAAAAATTCCCCTTATATGAATTTTATATCATCTCATTCCAACAACATTCATGCTCTTGAGCAATTGAGAAGCAGTAAAAATAAAGCCACCAGCTTCTCCTTGGTAATATAATATTCTTTTTTTTTTTTTTTATTATCCTGTTACTAAAATACCCTTTGACTTTTTAGGTCAAACTAAATATATTGCAACATCGAAAACAATATCCACCCTAAAGTTTTTTACAATGTTTAAGAACATTTATGTCTTTTACACAATATTCACCCTAAATACCGATGTTGATTCGAAAAATATTCAATTTTGACCACAAAAGTCAAAGAGTATGGTTTTAATTTTTAAATTCTTGGGAAAGCTTTTAATGAATTTTGACATTTTAAAATTTTTTGCAGTTTGTTAAAAAAGTGATGGCTTCTTTACCATTTAATTGTCAATCTCAAAGTCCTTCACCTTATTTTGATCAATCATTATTTAGATTCGATGAAAAGGTTCGTCTTCTCTTCTCCTTAATCATCTATAAATTTGTAAATTCTTTTTATTAAGTTAAAAGAAATATCTATATCTATATCTATATATCTATATATATAGAGTAAAATACACGAATGGTCCCTATGGTTTGGGGTAATTTGCACGTTTGGTCCCTAACTTATTTTTTTAACTCGGAAGGTCCCTATTATTTGTTTTTGTTACACACTTGGTCCCTACTGTTTTTATTTATTACACGCTTGGTCCCTATCTTACCTAAAAATAGTATTATTTAAATAGAGAAAAATGATGAGGTAAGTAAGATAAGATGAGAGGGGTGGAGTTGGGGGTTTGTTTATTTTAATGAATAAAAAAATCAAAGGAAAATAGTCTTTTTAGGTAAGACAGGGACCAAGCGTGTAACAAAAACAAACAGTAAGGACCTTCCGAGTTAAAAAAATAAATTAGGGACCAAACGTGCAAATTACCCTAAACCATAGGGACCATTCGTGTAATTTACTCATATATATAATTGATATTTGTTTGCAGCTTATTTCTGCAGCTGATAGACATAGACAATCAACTGATCATCCAATCAAATTTATCTTAAGGAGGCCTCCACATACCCTAAAGTTCAAAATAAAACCAGGTATTATTAATTTATTATACACATTTCAAAAACAACAACATATTTTCATTTTTATTATTATTCCTTATTAATAAAATTTGAAAGTTTTTATCAGGACCTGAAGCTGGAATTACAGATTGTAGGACAAGGAGGATATCTTCATTTCTTTTTCATCCAATTTTACCCCTGGCTCTTTCAGTTCAACAGTCTTTGTTTTTGCAACCTGCTTTTGTAAATATTCATTTCCGTAAATAACCCTGACTTTTATGAAAATTAAGGGTTTATTTTATTAGTATGATGAAGAAAAAGAAGAAGAAGCAATATCAATGAGTAATTCCATGGAGTATTGATGTCAAGATTTTTAACTTAATTCATCATTTCGGAATTTATTTATATCATTTGTTTATTAACATCTATTTTCCCAAAATTTATTTATATCCTTTGTTTATTAACATCTCTTTGATTGGTTGGATTCAATAGAATAGAAATAACTTTTTTTTTTTTAACAAATAATATTATATATGCTTTCACTTTTTATGTATTATTTAATTATAATTAATGAAATCAAAAATAAGTTTACAATATAAATTAAAATAAGTTCATGAAATGAGAAATATGTGTTAATGAACTGTAATTAAACAGAACACAAAAACTATAGTTATGCGTTTGTAACTTTGTAAGCACCCTTTCCCACAAACCTCTATATAAAATATAAAATTAAAATCTTATTTTTATTAAATCTATTAAATTAAAAGTGAATATTATCTCACGTAGGAATGAATACATGTTTGTGAGCACCCTTTTCCACAACTAATTCTGGCTACTACTACTAACATACTACCCTCCATCCAAATATATCTTGGATCTTATATTTCTTAAATAATTACATCTCCCAAACTAATAAATAAAATACAAAAATTCAACTACTTTTCCAGACACGTGGCACTCTCCCATTGCTTAATCAAATCAACATACCCTTGAGCCGAACCAAGAGCAAATTCCGTCAACGAACTAACAGCCACCGACATTCCAGCACACAACACTCTAATAGCAACCTCCGCCATTTTCTCCGCCGTCTCCTCCTCCTCCACCTCCACCATCTCCATCCCAGAACCACCACCATACCGCCGCCCGGACCCACCACCACCGCCTTCTTTCAACTGTTGCACATACAAAGACCCAACCCCAGCAGCAAAAAAGTCGAGCCCATCAAGCACCGGGACCTCACTAACCGAGTCAAGCAGCTTTGACCACTGGATACAAACACCAAACACTGGCGGCACTCCGGCGGATCTCCGGGGAGAAAACGGGAACATTGAGGTGTTGTTGGAGTTGGATCCGGTGCACCGGAGTAGCCAACCGGTGATCGCGTGTATGTAAGATCTCTGAGCCGTGACCCATGACTCGAAACATGATTTCCAATTTTGTAACTCGGATTCAAGATTGGAAGCCGAGCGGGCTAGCCGGTGTGGCTCGGTGGGGTGCACCGGGGTGTACTTTTTGGGTTTTGATGGTGTCCCCGCTAACAAAATCTTGGCTTCATCGAGTGTTCGTTTTTGGGTTTGATGACACTCCGCCATTACCTTCCACATTCTTGATAATCTGGTCATTTTATCATAATATATCATATAAAGGGCATATTTGTCAATTCACATTCAAGATTCGGAAGTAAAGCTCGTTTGAATGGATAGGGTTTGGATTTATATGGCTAAATGCAAGAAATAGGAATGTATGTGTGTTTCCATTTTATTCGATTACAACATTGTACTTTTCGACTATTCTTTTTAATCATGACATTGTACTTTGAAATTTTATCCGATTATAGTGTTGTATTTCATTTATTTATGTGTTATAAAAGTTTACTTTCATTTTATTCTATTATGGCATCGTACTTTTAATTCTTATGATGACTGTACATTGGAAATCTATCAAATTCTATCATTATACATTTAATTTTTTTTTCTTATTAGGACGTTATAGTATGGAAAATCTACACAATTACAACAATAAAATTGTGGTTTTACGTAGAAAAGTCCCATTATTTTGGGTAAATTTTTGATAAAGTCCTAGAAAAAATTTAATATTTTTGTCCAAATTATCGTGTACAATTAAATAATCGGAACTTTTCTGTTAAAAAAAAAATAAAACTTTATCAAAAAATTTCCTAAAATAATGGGAATTTTCTGCATAAAACCCGTAAAATTGCTTTGATTTTGGATGACATTGCTATAATCGGTAGATTTTTAAAGGTATGTTGCTATTTCTTGTATTAAGCCCATGTTTATAAATTAAAAGTTAGGAAATGACAATAATACCCTTGGATCAATTCAAGAAGCTGTGGCTGAAGTTCTTGGTCCCTTAAAGTTTCAATCCTTTTTGACACGGCTTCAACAGAGTGTATGGAAACCTTAATTTGAGTATGTAAATTTCTAATGGCTGTTCTTGTTTTATCAACCGAAGAATGGTCATCGCCTTTAGCATCATGGTTCCGAAGTTGAGCGCATTTTTTTTCGTAAGCTATTCGAATCCGTTCACCAGCCTATGCAAATTCAGTCACATTGTCACATCGCCATACAATCGGGTATAATACTCGATTACTATGCCCGATAAAGTATCAGGTACAATACTTGACAAGTAGTCTTATCAGGTAATTTGGAGTGTACCTGATACATACATATCAGGTTGCGCCTACTATACGCTAGGCGCAACCTGATATGTACTAGGCACACAATTTGGTGTGCCTAATTAATACTATGTATCTGACACAAATGTGTCAGGTGTATAGTGTTTAGAAAGACGTATACATGTACCTTGACTTCTTGATAGAGTTTTTTCTCCCAAGCGTATAATTTGTCGAGAGTAGACTGGTGACTATTTTGAAAAATATACGAGTCATCAGACACATCACTGCTGCTAGCATAATCTTCTTCTTTTGAACTACCCGAAGAATTGATCAAGAATCTTGATGAGTTTGAGCGAGATGATGATGCGGATCGAAGTAATGCCACTGGATTTAAAATTTTCATAGCTGTAATAAAAGATTACCCGAAATTAGTAATTGGAATAGATTAAAAAAAAAAAGAGGAAATCTAGATAAACAAAACCTATTTTGTATTGTGATTAAATCATTATATTGTTTTTTACCATTTAAAAAAGGGATTTTTCTGAGGTTACCCGATTTTGATATTAGTAACATACTAAACCATTATACTCTTCTTTGATCGATTAGAAAAATAATAGTAATAATATTATTACTATTATTATTATTATTATTTTTTAGCCATTAAATTTGACCACTAAAAGCATTGTTATATCAAAAGCAAATTTTCTATCAAAAAGCATTGCAATGAACTGAAATTTCATATACCTTGCTTTTAAAAAGGAGATTTCACATAGCTTGCTTTTTGTAAAGGAAATTTCACGTAGCGATGCTTTTGCACATTATTTTATTTATTCAGTGGCTAAATTCAGTCGTCGTGAAATAATAATAAAATAATAATAATAATAATACAAGTTGAAAATATAATTTAATAGACTGTAAAAATTCTGATAATTATTTGCTATATAGAAAGTTTAAATAGTTCAACAAAATTATGTACTTATGCTCTTAATAAACAATTTAAATATGAACCATAAAAAAATTAATAACTGTAAAAATCGAACATTAATGTGGTCGGGTCCCAACCCTTGTGGACACACAGCCTAACATTGAATTTGATGCTGTTTTTTTTTTTTTTTTTTTTTTTTTTTTAATCTATTTTCTGGTTTTTATTCGAACCCTCTATGTACTCTTGCATCCATATCAAGTAAATTCAGAAAATGACTTTTCTAACAGTCAAATAATTTAATGATTTAATAAGATAAGTATTTTTCTTGTTTTAAACTTAAATTTATATCAATAAATTCATGTTTTCTAGAATTTGAAAATTAAAAAAAACAAAATTTCGTAAAATACTAAATTCGAACCTGTTAGCTCGTGGGAGGTTGATGAATATTGGGCCCGATTAGCCTCCAACATAATCGAAAGCTCTGTAGCTGAATCGGAAATAATGGTGAATTGAGCTTCCAGATCTTTAATAACTTCCGACATACTCGTCGGCCTTCGATTCACATAAACCCTAAACCCCTGTGTTCCTTCGTTTTTCCCCTTTTCTTGATTCGAAACATCTCCAGTTCCATTATTTCCGATTTGCCCTGAACTCTGTGCCCTAGAAACCTCAAGATTCTGAGTTTTTGGCATCAATGGCGGCAATTGCGATTCTACTTCGTGTTCACTTTCGGTTTCTTCTCCGCTATCTGTTTCAAAATCATCGTCTTCTTCATCTTCATCGTCGTCGTCTTCATCAACGTCTTCGACTGTAACTTCATCTTCATGATTATGATCGGTTTCTTCCTGTTCATGTTCTGTCTCCTCTTCGAGTTCCGGAATCCCTTCCTCTTCCCTAACTTGCTGTAATCCATTGATATCATCATCAAACACGTTTTGATGATCGTTATTTCTCGCGGGATACGCGTAATAATCCAAAGTCGAAAATGGGTTCCAGAAAAAATCCCATTGTGACGATCTTTGAGGCGAAGGCGGCGGAAAATTAGGTCTACTGTAATGGAAAATAGACGACGACGACGATTGTGATTCTGTTTGCGATTGCATCCCAAAGAAACTATCGGCGGCGTAATGGTACGCCGGTGAGGGGGTATACGACTCGATAATGACAGATTCCGGCGAATCAGGAAGCCGTTCTTCCACAAAAATCGACGGGTTCCCTCCGGATCGAAGGTAATGCACTTTTGGTTCGATGGTGACGGAGTTTGGGGAAATGGTGATGAATCGAGGGGTGGTTTTCTTTGTGGCGGCGTAGGGCGGCGGTGTGGTGAAGGAATCTAAGGAGAACTCACGGGGTTCATCACCTTCCACGTAGTCTTTCAGGGCGGCGGAAACTCGTTTAAGTGACCGGAGATAAGCTGTATGGCCGGAAGCGAATTTTGTCCGGTGTTCAACGGCTTTTTTGATGAAGTTTTTCCGATCTTTACAGAGCTTGACGGCTTCTCCGTCGTCTAACTTTGATGATGAACATCCCATTTCTTTAATTTTAGGATATTTTGTGATTCAAATAAGATTGGAGATTAGAAGCTAGTCTTTTTGAGGGTTTTTCCAGATTCATAAGGGATCTTTAAACCTGTTGAAAAAGAAATGAGGAAGAAGAACATCATGATAATGATAAATTTCAGGTGTTGTACATTTGTACTTGCTATCAATAATATTTTTATCACTTTATTTTTCACTTCTATAATAACTATGATTTTTTTTTTGTTGTTGTTGTATTTTACTCTTGGTAACATAATATACAAAATTTTTTAGGCAAAATAATGTATTTACATTTTCTATAGGTTATTTTACTTATAATAACACAATTACATTTTGCATTATTACATATTGCAATTATCCCAAGTATGTTGCTATTATGAGTTTAGTCATGTCCAATAAAAAAAAATTTAAGTCAAACTTTAAAAGTAATATTGGGAATCCTCTTCTGGATTATGAAGGTGATATGGCAGAACAAGTTGATGGAAATAAACTGTAAAATACATATAATTTTTAATTCCAATTATGGTGGAATAAGTTGGGAAATATATAATTGAAATAGAGAATGCTACAGAAATTATCTTTTTTGGGATAAAGAAACAAAAGAAGTACAAATGGCAGCTCTTGATCACATGGGTAAAAAAAATACAAAAACAATTAATTCAGATAAAAAAAATAATAATAATAACAAACAATATGCTTTTGTCAAAGCAAGATGAAGATAGAAAAAGAGAATTATTAGAACATAGGGAACTCCAAAATTAAAATAAAAAATAAAAATCAGAACCATTATAGCTTCTTCTTGACTAAAGCTTCCACTAAAACCTTTAAACAATTAAATTTACAGAAAAAGATATATAATATTGGGTATGAGATAAAACAAAAAGATAAAATCAAATTAGGCAAGATATACGAAGGGCTTCTATTTCTTCCTCGTTAAGATTTAATTACATCACATTTTAGAGTTAAAACTGTTCCAAAATATAAGATTATTAGATGCATGGAACTAATCATTAGTACTAAAGTTCAAAGATATTTGGAGATACTGAAGCATCAATGTCGGATTAATAACCACTAAAATCAATATACACAGAGAGAGATGAAAATGAGATTAATAGTGAATTGAAGATGATACCTGGGTGTTATTAGATCAATGGTGGACAGGAGCAAGATTTATGCGTGAGATTAGATTCAAGAACACATAGAAACAGAGTCTTGGTGTGTGAGTGTGTGTGTGAGAGAGAGAGAACACTCTGACTGACCCCAACTTATGAGAGAGAGAGAGAGATATGGGGCTTCAAGAACACACAGAAACACCCAAAAAAACGCACTCGTAGAGAGAGAGAGAGAGAGAGAGAGAGAGAGAGATGGGGCTTCAAGAACACACAGAAACACCCAAAAAAACGCACTCGTAGAGAGAGAGAGAGAGAGAGAGAGAGAGAGAGAGATGGGGTAATTCAAGAACACACTGAAATACACTATTCTTGAAGAGAGATATGTCAACACACAGAAACACCTCAAACACGTACTTTTTAGAGAGAGTTATGGGTTGAAGAACACACAGAACTCGCTTGTTGGATGAGAGAGAGAGAGAGAGAGAGAGAGAGAGAGAGCAACGGTCAAAACCCTGTTTAGAGTGGGAACTAAAATGAGAAAAGAATGAGGAAAAAAAATAAAAGCAAGAAATTAAAGGAAATGTTTTTTCCCAAAGCGGTGTTACTTAATCTAGAATAATGTACAACATTTAATGCATTAATTACAGAGCTTTAATCAGCTACTCTTCTGATTTTAACTAATAATTGTTCTGAGAAAAAGATCCACCTCCTTTATGAAAAGCTTTCATGTTTGGAGGCCTAAAAATTAAAGGAAAGAATCACATGAAGAGGATAGCCGAATCCCACTCCTTTTCGATTCCAGTTTTGCCCTTATCATTTTCCATAATCTCTATTTTGCTCTTTTCCTCTAGTATTATCCTAACCATTATAAATATAGGCTCATAAATATTTATTTTATTTAATTTTAGGGAAATTAAATAATCTAACTATTTTTAATGTGTATTCCAAGAAAATAATCAAATTTTTAGTACTCTAGACAAAAAAAAAAAAAAAAAAAAAAAAAAAAAAATCTACGATTTTAAGAACAAATCCAAAATCCAAAGACCATTTCTGAAATTTCAAAAAAAAAAATTAAAAAAATCTAGGATTTTAAGAACAAATCCAAAATCCAAAGACCATTTCGTAAATTTCAAAAAAAAAAAATTGTTTTTTATTTAAATTTAACAAAAAATTCAATAAACATAATAATATGAACTATATACGATATTGATGTATAAAATTAGGTACTTTATCGAAAAACAGTGACATTAAACATTTCAAAATGTAACATTCGGAATAAAAAAAAAGATTTCTTTGAAAATTATTAAAAAAAAAACTTCAGGATATGAACAATATTCCGGAATGAAGGCATTCCAGAAAAAATGGTTATTTTTCAAAAACTAAAAAAAGACGGTTATTTTCTTTGAACTTACAAATTGGTTTTACAAAGTTTATATATGAACAATATCTAAATAAAAAATATTTTATTTAATTATATTCAAACAAAAGTATTATATGTATATTAAAATATTATTTTTATATGTAAAAAAAAGTTATAAAATGTTTCTTCTTTATCAAAACATATCAAATCTGGTCTAAAACTCAATAAAAATATTATCATTACAACCTTGTTTTGAATAAAATGGTAAATGTAAGTTCCTGACTTGAGAAGGTGTTGCATCTTGCTCATTGTCTCCATCCTTTACCTTTTTTCTGTTGATCGAATATAGGCTCATAAATATTTATTTTATTTAATTTTAGGGAAATTAAATAATCTAACTATTTTTAATGTGTATTCCAAGAAAATAATCAAATTTTTAGTACTCTAGACAAAAAAAAAAAAAAAAAAAAAAAAAAAAAAAAATCTACGATTTTAAGAACAAATCCAAAATCCAAAGACCATTTCTGAAATTTCAAAAAAAAAATTAAAAAAATCTAGGATTTTAAGAACAAATCCAAAATCCAAAGACCATTTCGTAAATTTCAAAAAAAAAATTGTTTTTTATTTAAATTTAACAAAAAATTCAATAAACATAATAATATGAACTATATACGATATTGATGTATAAAATTAGGTACTTTATCGAAAAACAGTGACATTAAACATTTCAAAATGTAACATTCGGAATAAAAAAAAAGATTTCTTTGAAAATTATTAAAAAAAAACTTCAGGATATGAACAATATTCCGGAATGAAGGCATTCCAGAAAAAATGGTTATTTTTCAAAAACTAAAAAAAGACGGTTATTTTCTTTGAACTTACAAATTGGTTTTACAAAGTTTATATATGAACAATATCTAAATAAAAAATATTTTATTTAATTATATTCAAACAAAAGTATTATATGTATATTAAAATATTATTTTTATATGTAAAAAAAAGTTATAAAATGTTTCTTCTTTATCAAAACATATCAAATCTGGTCTAAAACTCAATAAAAATATTATCATTACAACCTTGTTTTGAATAAAGTGGTCAATGTAAGTTCCTGACTTGAGAAGGTGTTGCATCTTGCTCATTGTCTCCATCCTTTACCTTTTTTCTGTTGATCGAATTTAAGCGAAGTTTTATATATATATATATATATATATATATATATATATATATATATATATATATATATATATATATATATATCAATTTTCATTATACTGTGGAACTTTAGTTTCTCATTACACCCTTCCAAAAACAAAGCGACATCTAGTCTCTTTTCATTCTTTGTGTTAGTTGACATATTGCAAGAGGTATGTTATGTAGACAATATCATGGTAGTATTTTTAATAATTCTTATTATTATTGGTAAAGATACAAAGGTTTTGTACAAAAAACTACAAACAAATCACACAAATAAATACAGGAAGGAAAGACCAAAGAAAAGGTAAGGAGGAAATTAGGTGAGGGAATTAAGGAAAGAATTCAGCGAGAGAAAAAAAGAATATCCTTCTTTACTCCCCCTCAAGTTGAGGCATGTAAATTTTGAATGCCCAACTTGTCGAGTAGCGTACGGAAATGTTGAGCTCCGAGTGGTTTGCTGAGGATGTCGGCAATTTGCATTCTGGTAGATATCTCCATGGGTTGTATTTCATTGGATTCGACACGTTCTCTAATGAAGTAGCAATCCATTTCAACGTGTTTGGTGCGTTCATGAAATATGAGATTGTTGGCAATATTACGGGCTGCCTGATTATCACAAAATAGTTGTGTCGGTCCCGAGCTAGTCATGCCAAGTTCAGCTAGCAGCCACCGAACCCATAAAATCTCGCTTACGGTAGATCCCATAGCCCTATATTCAGCTTCGGCAGACGAGCGAGAAACGACAGATTGTTTCTTGGATTTCCATGAAATGGGAGACCCTCCTAAAAGCAAGATATACCCGGTTCTAGATCTTCTAGTGACGGGGCAACCAAGCCAATCCGAGTCACAATATCCAGTGAGATTAGTGCCGCCCTCTTTAGTGAGGAGTACGCCCTGCCCTGGTGTGGTTTTTAGATACCGAAGTACTCTAGAAGCTGCAAACCAGTGACCTTCTCTCGGATCACTAATGAATTGGCTGAGGACATTTACAGCATAAGCAATGTCTGGATGCGTAACTTGCAAGTACATGAGCTTTCCAATTAATCTACGATATTGGTTGGCATCCACTCGTTGATCGTCATCACATTTGTCCAGTTTCAAGTTTTGCTCCATGGGAAAGTTACTTGGACGACATCCCATCATCCCAGTTTCTTCCAAGATGTCAAGTGTGTATTTGCGTTGACTCAACACCATCCCTTGTTTCGTTCGTGCCACCTCAACCCCAAGAAAGAATTTTAATGGCCCGAGGTCCTTGATGCTAAACTGATCGTCAAGGAATTGTTTGGTGGCATGGATTTTGTCTAAGTTATCTCCCACAAGAATAACATTGTCGATGTAGATAAGGGCGGCAACAAAAATACCCCCTTCTTTGAACAAAAAATAACGAGTGATCCGCCTTAGATTTCTTGAAACCGTAACTTTGTAAGGAGGTGGTGAACTTTTGGTACCAGTTCCTCGATGCTTGCTTAAGCCCATAGAGAGATTTCTTAAGTTTGCAAACACGATTATCATTTGGCTTCTCAAACCCTTGTGGAATCTTCATGTAAACTTCCTCGTGTAGGTCTCCATGAAGAAATGCGTTGTTAACATCGAGTTGGTGAACATGCCATTCTCTTTTGACAACAACGGCAAGAAGTGCTCGGACAGTGACCAACTTAGCAACCGGTGCGAAAGTGTCATGAAAGTCGACCCCTTCTATTTGGGTGAAGCCTTTAGCTACGAGCCGAGCCTTGTATCTTTCTATTTCTCCATTTGGTTTGAATTTTATTTTGTATACCCACTTTGAATCTATGGCACGTTTTCCTTTTGGTAGCTCCTCAAGCGTCCAAGTTCCATTAGTTTCAAGGGCTTGTATTTCTTTCTTCACGGCCTCTACCCATTTAGGGTCATGAACAGCTTGTTTGAAATGTTTAGGCTCATTATTTGAGGTAATGGCCGTCATGAAAGCTTTATGTGAGTCGGTAAATTTATCATAGGAAACATAGTGTGCTAGAGGATGTACCTGTTGGATTAGTGTCTAAGTCCATAACTATTTTGGTATGTACTTGACCCAATGGTGCATGGTCCTTTTGGGTTGCCTTCACCAAAGCAACTTGATAGGATGAATTATGGAGAGAAAGGATTAAATATGATTTATTAATATATTATGGGAATAATATATTAAAGGAGAAATCATATTGTTTAATTAATATTAGTCAATAATTAATTGGTAATTAGTTTTGTGACTAAAAGAGATTAATTAAACTTAAGGGACTAGAATTGTAATTATAAGATAATTGCAATTTGGGCCATGGATTGCCTTAAATCAAGGGGGGGACGAATTCTATGGGGAAGCCCATAAAGAAATCGTCCAAGGGCTTGATTAAAAGGAGTCTATGGGTTGCTTAGGGCTTAAGTATCCAAATTAGGGTTTCCTTGTTAGATAACCCTGATAGCCCAACTATATAAAGACCCCATAAGGCTCAAAAACGTGGCTAATGATCTTTCTAGGGTTTCACATGTTTTGGGCAGCCTCCAACCTCTCTTTTCTTCATCCTCTTGCTTATGGTGTTTGTGAACCATTAGAGGAGTGACACTTGTGACTCTAAGCCTTCCAAAGTCAATTCAAGGAGATTTGGGATTGTTATTGCTACATAACAATCAAGGTAACATTATAAACCTATTCTTATGTTAATATGATTATTTGAATGCTAGAATTAGGGTTTATAGTCTTGGATAACTTGCATGTACAATAGAGAAACCTAGATCCAAGCTTTAGGGTTTGTATGAGCACATAGGATGTCTTATGACCAAAACCCATCAGTGGTATCAGAGCCTAGCTTGGTTTCAATTGTATTGATGCATTACATGTTCAAAAAATTCGTTTTTTGGTGTTTTGGAGGCTGGACTTGCCGAGTCCATAGTTGAACTCGCCGAGTCCATGCAGACTCGACA